GTAATGACTTCAGGAAAGCACTGTGGGATGTAAAGGACCGTTCCTTGGCATTTCGGGATTGTGAAACGTTTTCCTGTTTTTACAGTGAGAATCGGAGGCTGTCGTGAGAAACACGTGGTGGAACCTGTCACACCACCGGTTCCTGTGCGGGGTGGGAACCGTCAACAGCCTGTGAGCGTCACGGGCTGTGAGCATCAAAGCCAGGCTGAGGCCTGCAGCTCAGCCTTCTGAGCGCCACCACCGCGGGCGGCTGTGCCTCCTTCAGTGCAGGTGCCTCACGTCACCCCTGCGTCTCAGGGTTGCCGCGAAGATCACCGGGGAACAGAAGGCAAAATTCAGATTAAAAAAAAAAAAAAAGGCGTGGGTTTTTTGCTTTAACATTATGTACATGAAACGTGTGTTCTCGGTGGAAAAAATACGTAACAAATGAAAGCAAAGAATCCAGAAAGTCAATTCTTGGCATAAAGGTGGGGCTTTTTTGCTTATGTTTTTGGTTTTCAGGTTTTTCAATTTCCAGTGGAGAATTTAATAGAATGAATGAGACACATTGACTCTTTCAGTGACAATTACCGATTATCCAACAATTGGATAAAAAAAGGGTTGGCACAACAGTTTCTCTTGAGCATGGGAGACCTGAGCTATTCTTAGACATGGTTACAGCCTTGGACTTTCCTGAACCTAATGTCTCATAAAACAAGTGTGTTTGCTTTGGGTAGGTTACCTTCCCGAAAGAGCCAGCAGCCCCTGCAGATCAGCACACCGCTCTGCATGTCTGCATAGAAAAATGCCTCATACTGAAGATTTAAATGATATTCATTAAAAGCTGAGTTCTGCCATCAGAAGGATATTCAGCTAACGAGAAGATAACTCTGTGTTTTCTCTCAGTGAGCACCAGACTTACCCGCATGTAGAATTCCCTGCCCTCGTTCCCTGATTTGATTTGGAAGATGTAATAAGCTCCAGGGTAGCGAGTTGTTGCTTGCATCTGAAAAATGTCAGAAGGCACGGACCGCCCGGACACCATATCCATCACTCTGTACAAGATGGTGAATGGCTGATCTCTGCAACCGGCGTTTTCAGCTGGGCACATGCAGCGGCTAATTGTCAGAGATAAGATTGTCATCAGGGGTTACAAATTGCTGTAATATTTAATTCTTCATATGCAAATACAGCAGCATACATAAATAAGCAAACAGAGTTGCCGACCAGCTGAAAGAATCAATGAAACTTGTAATGAATTTTCTCACTTTCAGTATTCTCTGTGTTGCTATTCAGGCCTAACCGTATCCTTGACTTCTTTTTCTTCTCTTCTAGCCCAAAATATCTTGGCATCCTTTGTCTCCTTAGATCACCTGAAAATCTGTACTTTCTTTAATGAAGTGCTGCAGGTGTAGAATACCTGGTACATGTTTGTTTGTACCTCTGCCTGATACTGAACACGTTGGCACATGTTCAGTAATTTAAACTGAACTGTCCCCAAAATAATGTTAATTAATGGATCATTTAATTGATGGTGCTACATAAATGTTGTATTCTTTGTTTAAAAACTTTTTATATACTACATGAAAACATGCCATGAGACATCAAATGCAGAAGCCTATGAAAGAGCAGGATAGCAAGCCAGGCATATGACACTTCCACCAACAGCCTCCAACTGTTTGTGACTCAAGAAATACTTTAAACAAAAATGTCTTCTGTGTATTCATCAGTCCTTAATGCATTTCTTATCCATCAGCTTGTCCAGCTTACTCTTACACCCACATGAATGCTTGGCACCCATAGTCCCCTGCTGCCAGGAGCTCCACAACTCTCTTCACCTCTCTCTGCAGTGCCCCTTGCTGACTTCATCTGATGCTCCCAGCTCTTCAAAGGAGAGTGGACAGTCAACCATAGAATCACAGAATGGTTTGAGTTGGAAGGGTCCTTGAAGATCATCTAGATCCAACCCCCCTGCCGTGGGCAGGGACACCTTCCACTAGACCAGGTTGCTCAAAGCCTCATCCAGCCTGGCCTTGAACACTTCCAGGGATGGGGCATCCACAGCTTCTCTGGGCAACCTGTTCTAGTGCCCCACCATCCTCATCGTAAAGAATTTCTTCCTTGCGTCTAATCTGAATCTACCCTCTTTCAGCTTAAATCCATCCCACCTTGTCTTATCACATCTCAGGGTTTCATATTTGCCTCTCTTCATAGCTGAAGAGTCCTTAGTAGTTTCTCACAAGGAAGATATTCCATACTTTTGATCACCTTCATTGTTCTTTATGAACCTTTGTCCTGTTATATTTCTTTTGAGAGGAGGGGAAGGAACTGCATGGTCTTGCAGATAGATACAGGTACGCAATGACACGTGCTCTCTACCTATTAACACCTCAAATTCAGATTGCTTTTCTGATGACTGGTGAGTACTGCAGATCATGGAACTATCTATAACAACTCTCAAATCTCATTTTGGACAGATTATTATCAGATCAGTGCTCTTTATTTAATTTGTGAATTTGAGATTGTCCTTTTACTTTACATTAATCTACACTGAACTTCATCTGTCATTTTTATTGCATAGTCACTGAGGCTCCTTCTGCATTTCTTTTCTGCCCACCTTTCTCTACTGTCCTCAGATACTTTTGCAGACTTTGTCCATTGCATAGTTTATCGTTTTTCCCAGGTTGCTTACAAATATGTTGGACAAAGTAGGTCCAGCTCAAGACCTCTGCAGAACTTCACTGTGAAAGTTGACAATTTAATACTATGCGCTATTTTTTATTAGCTACTCTTCTGTGCCAGGGCAGGTTAATTTCCATAATAACCTTATGTGAGATTTTTTTCAGAAGCCTTTGGAAACCCAGACTGTATCAGCCCGTGTGCCCAAGCCACGCGCTGCTGCTGCTTTCTTGAGAGAACCCTAATATAAAGTTGTGAGGCAGGACGTCCCTTTATAAAAGACGTGGTGGGGGATTTACTGGATAAGAGTTGGGTCTTTTTGCCTATTTTTTCTCTAACCTCTATTACTGACAATTTCAGGCAGTTCATCTGGCATGTCCCCCATAAAAAGGCTCCTGGCATTACGAACACCCTATTCCTTCCACAGAAAACACATATGCAAGGAATTCACTTGGCTTTTATACTGACCACTTGTACACATATGCCACAAATTAAATGCAGTCACATCTAGACACGAGCCAAAGCCACCTAACACAAAGCTCAGAGATCAAGAGTTCTGGTGCAAGCTGATCTGTGAGGACTCTACAGTTGGTCTCTGAGGAATTTAGATACAGAGGCTTCAGATATTTCAAATTCCAGTTTAAGACTCTACCACCTCTGAAGGTAGGTAAACCCAGAACTGGAAGAACAGAACGTGTGAACCCCTCTGCAGCCCTAGTTCAGAAAGCAATGTAAAGACATGAATAAAAAGAATGGAAAGAAGTTGATTCTTCATCTCTTGCGCTTCTATAAAATACATTAGGCTACCAAGCAATGCCAAGTCATTGGGTTTAGTGCCAACGCTGTGGATGAAATACTGTGGGCTGCAATATAACAGAGATCTGTTTGGAGCTGAAGTATTTTCAGCCCCAGGCAAATACCTACAAAAATGTAAAAAGAAAAGGCAATTTTTAGAAATGTGGGATTTATTTTTTTGCTTCCTCAAATAATTCCAAATTCAGAGAGTAGCAGTGCTAACAGCCCCATCCAGACATACCCAGTTCCTGGACAAGGCAAATCAGTCTGTGGACTTTTCATCACTTTTAACCTTTAAGCCGTAGGAAACTACTTGTATCCTGCTGTAAGTATCATCTAAGGTTTTAAAGTATTTCCCAGCCATAAGCTAGTTAATATTTACAGGAAATACTCATACTAATCAACAGGTTGCATCTGATCATATATGAAGTCAGTAATGTAAGTTAATGTCTCTATTACATTACAAACCTTGCTGCTTTCTCTACTCAGTGAGTGTTTTTCCAGTCTGACTTCCCACGCATCTGAGTATCATATCATACCATATCCCACCTGGTGACCTGGCAAGGAACTGCAATTTATTATTTTTATAAACCTTACCAATGGTAAATGCAGCAACGGCATGTATGTATAACTCTCCAGGCACACTTCATGGCCGTGCTGTAAAAATGTAGCTTATTTGGTTCACTCTAGATACGCTTCACACAGAGAGAATTTGCTTTTGTGGCTGTGGGAATGTTACTCACTTCTCATTAATCTGGATATAAGGTTCCTCGCATCTTACTGGGTCTAAACATTTATATTCTCCTGGGATATTGAAACACGTTTGCTGCTGAGTGCAGGTGAAGTTTCTGTTTTCACATTCATTGATATCTAAAACACAAGAAACAAGAGAAAGGCTAAAGCAGGGAAACATGTGCAAGACATCACTCTTACAAACTGGCTCCCATCTTAAGGAATTGTCCAAAAATTTGTAACACTCTTGCACCATGAGAAATGTCCTTTTGATAGCTGGCCCCTCTTTCAAGATCAGTTTTTACTTCATTCATTTCTGCTTATTGGAGTGCTCCCATATACTAAGCACTGCAAAAATAGAAAAGAAATTGGCTGCTCAAGCTCTCTGACCTTAGAGAATGGGAAAACTAGAGAGAGATGTGCGGCAGAGAGGAGAGCATCTGAGGGCTTTCCCGTATAGCTGTTTCCTAGTCAGTAAAGTCTTAGAGCAACATAGCAATTGACCTCAGTGGGACTATTCATGTGATGACATTCTTACCAGAATTACGTAATTGGCCCCTATGAGTATTTGTGCAATTCCAAGACCAAGCATCTCAATTCTTGAAAACCTCTTTCCAGACACAGGACCTATTTTCTGGTCCCCTCAGGTTTTAATCAGCACAGGAATGTTCTTACCTTGGCAGCTTCTGCTATCGTCAAGCAAGTTATAGCCCGAAGGACAGATACAGTAGTACGAACCAGGCGCGTTCACACATTCGTGCTGGCAGAGGAACTCTGAGAAGCTGCATTCGTCCATGTCTGCAGTGGTAAAACAAAGTTTAGTGTCTTTGGCTTTACAGTCAAAAGAGCAGTCCCACAGGCAGGTGACCATCCGGCCTAGGTGCCCATCACCCCAGCTGGAGGTTGGCACCCTCCCGTTCCCTAGAGCACTGCAGCAACCTGGCAAAATGCTGTACAAGTTCTTAGTTAAATTATTTTCTCCTAGGGAAACCAAAGCTGCTGCTGAACATGATGTGTGGGGTTCATTTATTTATTTTTATTTTTGAATACCTGTCACCAGCTGGCCATGTTTTCAGTCCTGTTTTACGTCAGAGATAGAGCTACTCCAACAAAGCTGCAACTGTAATTTGAAAGGACAGACTTGGCAGAGGTGTTCTGTTCTTTTTTTTTTTCTTTTATTCTGGAGAGCAAACTTCCCTTTCCCAGGGCCACATGGGTCCCAGCAGAACTCCTGCAGCCAGCCCCGGCTGTTTTATGTTTCTCAGCCTCTAGCTGGTTACTTCCAAGACATTCCAGCAAGACTACAGAGCTCATCCCAGCTTGGGTCAGACGTACTGGAAGGCCCAGCCATCTCCCAGATACCCAGGAAGCTAAGCAGTCTGTCAAATCTCTGATTGAAAGCAGAAGTTGTGCTCTCTTCCCCTTGCACTCATGAATTGACCGGTCATTGTATTCTGCAGAATGGCGCTTGAGCGAGAGAGACGAACTTCAGAGCTGCACATGGAGGCATGACTGACTGCGGGGAAAACACATGCAAAGGCGGTAGACTGAGGGAGGCTGCAGTTAATCATTTCCTTATTTCCCTCTTCAGGGGAAGAAAGAAACAAAGGCCAGAGCCCCAGCCAGGAACTCCCAAGTTCTTATTCCCAGCTCTGACATGTTGACTCTCCCAGGCAAATCACTTTTACTCTTCAGACTGAATTTCCCTTTCTTCTAAACTGGGCTCAGTCCATTTATCCACTTTTGGTGTTTTGTGCAGATGGATTGGAAAGCATTTGAAATCCAAATATGTTAAAGTGGCTTTATGGCTGCAACCACCGTATCAAAAGGGAGATGAAAGGACCTTTACACCTACACAGTCCTGTTATTGTGTGACTTGCCCCAGCGAATTGCTGGAAAACACACCTTCCTGACGGGATAGGGACTGAGATACCGCCCACTCCCTTGAGGTGTCCTAGCCCAGACCTCCAGCACCAGGGTTCATATAACGTGTGCTCAGCTGCTGTCAAGTGCTGGAGGGACTTA